CTGGGGAATTCTGGGAGTTAAAGTCCACACATCTTAAAGTTGTCAAGGTTGAGAAACATTGCTCTAATTCCTATGTACTTCCCCACCCCTGCCCTTTCTCTATCTTCCCCCTGAGAAGCCTTACTCCTTTTTTTCTCCCCAGGAACCCAGCCATGTGTCTCTTATATTCTCCATTCTGAAGCAATGTTGTCCCTGTGCAAAGTGTGTTCCCCTTTCAGCATGTAAATCAGTGTTTCTCAACCTTGGCAACTTTAAGGTGAGTGGACTTCAACTCCCATGGCTGGCTGGGGAAGTCTGAGAGTTGAAGTCCACACATCTTAGAGTTGCTAAGGTTGAGAAACACTGCTCTATAATATCTTTGTGAAGGTGCATGGACCAGAATGCTAGTGTGGTCTCATTACTGTTACGTATAAGAGCATAATTATAGTGAGAATTCTACTTTCTTTCCCTTCCTGGTGATTCCATACATGGAATTTACATTTTCTTCACCAGCTGCACACTGAGCTGTCTCTATGTGAAGACGTGGTCCTCTCTCTGTAGGCCTGTCCAGTCCAGGTCTGGTTCAGAGACAAGGATACATAAGATGGGAGGATGATGGTCTTGAAGTTCACTCTCCACCGTTGGATACATTAGCTTAGGAGACTTTGAAGTAAAATCCAACTATAGTGAAAAGTTTTATGTTTTTTTTTGGTAGTAACTAGTATTTCCAAATCTAAACACATACTTGTATATTAGCATATGCAAATTTCAGGCCTGGAATTTCTTTGTTCTATTAATACTAGTGTTATTTACACTTTGTCTACTATTGATACTTTTGATGATCAAATCCTTCCTAAGGATCTAGGATAGCTATAGATACCATCATAATATATAGGCTATCCCAATTCAACCTCCTTCTCCTCCTCCTTTTCAGGTGAGGTAGGTATTGTTACCACGGCTCATATTTCTGTGGTTTTTGTATAAGCCATTTAATTTTTTGGCTAGCCTTTTTCTTTTTCTTTTTCTCTCTCTCTCTCTCCAGGTGTAAAGAGCTTAAATATGCAAAGGATCTCCCACAGCTTTCTATTATTTTTATCTTTGTCAACGAGGCACTTTCAGTCATCCTGCGTTCGGTGCACAGTGCAGTAAATCACACTCCAGCTCACCTTTTGAAGGAGATCATCCTTGTAGATGACAACAGCGATGAAGGTATGAAGCTCAATTTTTAGGGGCAGGGGAAGATAAAGCAGGCAGGACACTTGGGTAAACAATCACTATTTTTTTATTTGAACAATATTTGTAGCCTGCTGGAGTCCTGACAGACTCTGGGTAGGGAAGAACAAAACACAAATTACAGACATTGAAAAAAAAAAAAGCAAAAACTTAAAGCAACATTGCAATCAAACTTCTTATGTTAGATGCGCACAATCAACTAATACCAAAAGCATGGTGGAATTACACTGATTTTACTTGCTCATGGAATGCACAAAGGGTTGGGACTATTTATATCTCTGGGGTAAGTGTGTTTCATGATGTGGGGGGTACCCCACAGAGAAAGTCTGTCATCTAGTCTATCCCCATGTACTTCTCAAGGAGAAAGGGTTCTCAATAGGTCTTCTCTAGATGAGTGAGTGCCCAACATTTCTTGCATTTCTTGCTTTTACCATTCTTGTTCAATTTGATGGGGAAATATGTACCACCAACAACAACAACCAAAGAACATTTTTGCAAAATTCTTGTCCTTACTTGAATTATAAGGTGTGATACCCTGTCTTTATAGTAATCTGAGTCTTTGCTTTGAACTCTTTAAACTGATTCTATTAAAAAACTCAATTCAGTGCAAACACTTCTTGATTTCTTGGCAACTGGCTTTACTCAATGCATTGAATCAATTAAACCATTTCAGATGAAGATTCCATTTGAAAGGACAATTTCATTAAATTGCCTTCAAATTAAACCTTTGAATCAAAGCTTCACATCAGCCTAGTTTTTTTTTTTTTTTTTTGCTAGGAAGCAAAAGGAATCAGGCAAGGGTCTATGCTTCACGTGGTTTCTTTTAATTTTCTCGTTCTTGTTCTATTCATGCTAAACTAAAGGAGAGTTTTCAGTCATTTAATGCTCAGAAAAGCTTGAATGAAAGAGACTCAACTTTGATAAGGTAACAGTCAATGCTACTTCTTATTTGATAGGTAGCCACTACATTTCTTTTGCTCTGGTCTTTACAACTGTGCATGTTCTCCTTGTTTCTTAATGAAGGCAAATCATATTTTGGAAGTCACTGGAGTCTTCAGCCCAGTGGTGCTAGAGTCAGCTGGTGTGAGCTGACTGTTAAATTTTTGGGAATTTTGTGACCCAGTTGAAAACAGAGTTGAACCCAATGCCTAGCACATGATCAGCTGTTTGGCAGCTAGCACTGCAACACAGCAGCAGCAATAGAGGTGGCAAATCTAGCTGTTAAATATTTATCAGCACACCACTGCTTCAGCCTATCCTAAATGCCTGGTCTGTCAAACATTACTGGGATTGTTTATAACAAACCAATAAGAAAACAAGCAACAGCTTTATGAGAGCTGAAGGTTGAGATGTTGTCTGGTTAAGATCAGTGTTGTCCAAACTTGGCCACTTTCAGATGAGTGGACTTCAATTCCCAGAATTCCCCAGCCAGCCATGCTGGCTGGGGAATTCTGG